GGCATTTACAGCTGTTTCAATGCCAGAAAAGAGCTAAAACTTTAATAATAATTAATAATTAACTTTAATAACAGAAAGCGTAGGAAGCCTGTAATCAGTGAGCCGTTTTATTTGAACACAGTCAGTTTAAAGCTAATGTTTTTAATGTTTTTCTGTATTTTAAATTGATTTTATTGTCTACATTTATGTGTTGCTCTGTTTTATTCATTTGGCTGAATTGTGAAGCACTTTAGTCAACTTTTGTTGTTTTTATGTGCTAAACTGTAATATTCTGTGATTTCTACACATTTCTCAGGCAGGGAAAGGTGATATTGATTGTTTATCGGGACCTTCTCCAAATGTTTACACCTCAGGGAACCAGTAATCCTCTCCGCAGTGCTGAGGCATCTTATTAGTTGTACCCTGACTGACAAAAAACAAACCAAAACAACCGTACAGACAGCTAATGTGGACGTGGTGCATCGTTGGAGAGTTTAAGATTCAATTTAGAACAAAAGGGGGAAAAAAATCCGTCCTGGAAAATATTCATTATAACAATGTCCCACAGGAATTTGTCCCATTTACTATTTTCAGGCGTAATGTATAGTTTGATCGCAGCAGATTGTAAATTAATATTTTTTTTCAGGTCATGTCACAGGTACATTTATTTTGGAACATTTTTATTACCTGCCAGTGACGGCAGTGCAGTAATGTTTATGCTTGTGTTTGTGGGTTTGTTTGTTATTGTTGGCAAAATATCTTGTGAGCCATTGGACCGATTTAAATTAAACTCTTAAAAAATTAATCAGTGGTTATAGAATTAAAACTCATTAAGTTGTGCAGAAAGCCCAATTCAAGATGGCTGCCTCAGTTCAGGAACCTTCACCAAAACGGCTAAAATTCAGAGTTCTTCACGACACGTTCTTAGTGTGAGATTGCACACAATTTTCAACAATGTTTGCTAAAAATGGCAACAACTCAGGCCTTTAATAAGTTTTTTCACAAATTAATCTGTTAATTGTGACTTAGTTAARTGAAGAATGACTAAATGACTTGTAGTGGCGGGCAGCGCTAATCCAAAAATTAGCTCCGCAATTTCTAAAGTGCTTATGAAAATATTTAGGTCCGCACCTTCAAAAGTGCTTATGCCATAGAAAAACTGGCGTAAGCTAATTTTAAAATACAAGTTCAATTTGAAACTTACTAGCTGGCAACTATTCATGTACAATACAGTATATGCACAACACTGCCAACTAGTGGTGTATGAACCCTTTTACAACTTAATTCTACAACCGCCGATTGCTGGGGATGTGAGTTCCTGAAACAGACCTTTAGCTCCTGGTGTAAAAATTAAAAAGTTGTTGAGGATTGCTAGTTCGGTTGATTCTTTAAAAAGTTGTTGAGGATTGCTAGTTCGGCTGCTTCTTTGTCTTTTTCTTTTGTTTGTTGTAGATTTTTCATTAAAGAAGCATCAATAAAGTAATTTTAAAACCGTTTATTGGAAAACTGAAGCGAAGCATTCTGGGTACATGACGGATTTGATTTGTGACGGGAAATGAAAAAACAGAGTACAGCAAACTATCTTCACTTCAAAAAAGGAGCTTGGATTTTAAAGATTTCCATGTAGTTGCTCCAGTTGACCACTAGATGTCAGTCTTCATCAGCATAACATCTTTAAATCATTACTGAGTCTCTAACTGATTGTATTGAGCTCCAGCGTTTAAATTTTAGTTTATTTTTTTTTTTAAAAAAGGAGCTCCGATTGTAAAGTAAAATAAATCAGTACATACAAAATTTTAGTATGGATTACAAACGTCAACTGTTTTTGCTATTGCCTTCCTGCTACGTAAGCAGACACAAAGCATTGTGGGAAATCAGAACCAACCGTGACCCAAAGCAACAGTCAGCAAAGATGTATACCTTTCCAATAATTGTGTTGGATAGATTACGCTGTTATTCACTGACAGCCATACCTTCCGCTGTTCAAGATAAAGATGACTGGTAGATAATTAATTATTAGCCATATTGCATTTAAATTTTAAAAAGCGCAAATCTGCTTATGAAGTATAAAAATTGGTAAAACCGCTAAAGCGCAAATGAAATATTTAGGTCTGCAATTAGCGCATTTGCGCTTTAGTGGGCTGGTGCCCACCACTGATGACTTGTGTTTACTCACCTCATCTGTGACATGTTTCTGTTGATGAATGGATTACGACTGCGCTTTGCGCCATTTTCAGATCAGTCGCAGTCAGCACTCGGGCGCGGGCGGGTGCAGTCGGGGACAGGTCTGAGGTGTGGTTGTTTGCTGTGAGAAACGCTCGGGCTCTTTGTGAAGCTGCTCTTTAATAATGGATGCGTTGGGACTGCAGATCCCAGGGTGAGGAGGCTGGGGCTCGAGAAGGAAGGAAACCATTGGCTGCGAACCYGGCTGAACTCTGAGTGCCTCTGCATTGACTTGGTTGTGTGGAAGCGGAGTAAGCTTGCACACTTTACTACTCCTCACTCAGATGCACCATCATCCTGAGCTTTGATGGAGTCACAGCAACTCAAMCAGCAGTTTTGTAAACGACACAGAGGAAGACGCCTCTCTGCTCTGCTTCATCTCTGCCCTTTATTTGACACGCAGGCAGCTGGGCCGCTTCATCCCAGAATCATTTATTAGTTCTTCAAGTTAGGGGGGGCTTTGTTGTCACCATCTCTAGGGAGCTGCAGGTCACCCAGCCTCGCCTTGTCAGCCTTATAATCCACTTTAAGCAGATACAGCAATAAAGGCACACAAAGCTGCCAAGAGCGTGCTCTTGAGATTTATAAAGATTTATGTTTCTGAACAAAATGTAKCTTGTAGGATTTGTACCAGAACTTTATCATCATGTGAATAATTCCTCTATATTTCTATCTTTTATCTCTTGAAATTTTTTAGTTTACTTTA